AAAAAAAAAAAAAAAAAGCATGATCGAATGAATCTTCTGCTAGAACATGGAACTATACATTACTACGTGTGTGTGTGTGTGTGTGTGTGTGTGTGTGTGCATGTATGTGTGCGTGTGAGGGGTGGGGCGGGGGGTTGGGACGACCCCGGCCCCACCAATCAATCAATCAAATTGGTCAGAGCTACGAAAGACGGAACACTGAGATTGTTACTCGGTACGTTTAGACTGATCTTGGATCACAAGAAGATACGGACCAGAATCCCGGGGAAACTCCGAAAGGAGGACAGATGCCGACACCCCGAACCTTACGGCAGTAGGAACAGAGGAGCCTACAGTTGTAACTGCCCAACGAGCACTTACATTTCGGCACGCGGCATGACAAGGATAGTGTCCTTGCTTTGTTTAGTTATTTTATTTTATTTATTTATTTTATCTGAGTCCTCGCCTATGTTTTGGCCGAAGTGAAGGGACAAAGGAGAACCCGGGAAACGGATCTCAGATTCCCCGACGCTTCACTGTACTGCTTTAGTTTTATTTATTTATTTTATTTTATTTTATTTCAATGTATTTTTGATACCGCCCGGCGGCTCGAAAGTGACGAGTGGCTTTAGTCCACATTTTGACCATTTTCAGAACTAGGCATAGGCATATGAAGTTTTCGAAAGTTTTGGGAAAAAATATATATTACTAAGGAGGCAAAGGCATCGGCCTCTTTCGACAGCAGTGCTCGAGCAGAGCACACCTTCCTGATGAGTCCGCAAAGTGGGCGGACGAAACCGGTCGAAGGACCCGCTTTGTCGTTTTCAGAGAGTTCTGGCTATGGTGGCGTGAGGAGTGAGACATGTGTGAAGTGGGACTCGACGAGTTTGTTTGAAGCATTTATGAACTGAGCTTTTGGCAGTTTTCATGATTTCTATGGATGTTTGCATAAGCTCTGTTGTTCTCTAAGTATGCATGTAACTCTTCCGCTTACTGTTCGTCTCCCGACAGACTGTCGCCGCAGTCTGCCTTATGAGGGAACACAGTAACCGGAGTATTATTGGCCTTATGTTGGCTGTGTTAGCGTAGTCCAACATACTACAAACGCAGAACGTTATTGGAATGACCAGAAGAGACCACCACTGGAAGAGGAGTCGAAAGAGAGGAAGAAGAGTAGAACAAGTTTTAGAATCACTTCGAAGAATACGTCGTACGACCTATACGTTCAGAGTTGTTTTCGCCGATAGCAGACCAGGGTAAACAACGATTACATAGAAGAGTTGTATACCTGGCGGATTGTGATGGGGCAGATCTAGAAAAATGAACGACGGAGGAGGAGGTTACGGAAATAACAACAACGGATACAACGGGAATAGCAATGAGAACATTGGAGGGAATGGGTGGAGAGGAAACATCAACTGTTACGAATGTGGGAAACCAGGCCACATCGCCCGAGACTGCTGGAGTAAACGAGGGAAAGGAAACCAGAACGATGATGACGTACATAATTTTATGAAAGAACTGGTGGAGGAGAAGAAGGAAGCTAAGAAGAAAAAGGAGGAAGAAGAACAGAAGAAACTGAAAGAGGAGGAACGAAGGAGGGAACTAGACTTAGCAAGAAGAACGAAAGAGATGAGACTCCAACTTCAAACGGATATCGAGGAGAAATGGAAGAGACAACAGGAGGAAGCGCGTGCTAAGGCGGAAGAGATTGCGCGTGAAGGAAGCACGAAGTTACCGAGCCCGAAACTCTCGCCACGACAGAAGACCGTCACGAACGATAAGACAAAGAAGATGTCGCGCAAACCGAGAAAGAGCAAGAAGAAAGGACGAAGCACGAGGTCCTCGTCGAACACAGACGTTGAAGATAGTTCTACAACATCGACAAGCGACTCAGGAGAAGACACCGGGGAAGAAGCACGGAAGATCGCACAGCTACTTCGAGAGGAAAGACTGAAAGGAAGATCGAAGAGAAAGCAGATTAAAGGGAGGCAGAGGACTAAGACAATAGCTAGCACGTGGGAGAAGGGAGAATGCTCTACGCGCCCCGACACCCCGCCATCACAAAGACCGACAGACGAGAGTGAACCAAGGACACCGCTTACACGAGGGTACAAGGGAATCCCTGTCGAGTGCTTTCGTGAAGGCTTCATGGACTACACTATGAAGGTGATGGCGCAGTACTCGGCGAAGAAAGTGAACCAAGTCCGAGAGATATGCGAGAAGGAAGGGATAAAATCGGCCAAGAAAGATCAGATGGTGATGGAACTTGTGAAGAAGCAGACCGAGCGCGCCTATGGAGGTTTCTTCGACACACCTGTAAAGAAAACGGGGGAAAAGTTGAAGAACGAAGAAAGGGAAGCGGAAGATAGGACTCCTCCGGAAGCCATCAAGACAACCGTCAACACAAGAGGGAAGACCAAGATGTTCGTCCCACCGCGGAGCATCATCCGATCACCACCAAAAGACACCGATCTGGGTTCGGATTGACTATCCGTACCCCCTACAAACAAGGAGCTATGGATAGCTCTTAGAGCACAGATGGAGACAAGACGAAACCTGATGCGAGGAACCAACAGCGAGCAGTCTGCGGACATCGAACGAAGGATCTCGACCACTATGTTACTCCTAAGCATGAAGGGAGAGATCAGCTGGCTGAACAAGTTTACTGATAAAGCCGATCTGAACGAGAGCACTTTGGACATGAAGAGCGGAGGCGTATACATCATAGATAGCCCCTGGGCGAGGCGAGTATACGTGGGATGCACAACCAGACCGATTCTTCATCGGTGGCGGGAACACGTCCAAGCCGCGACATCAGATCGGAAGGGAAAAACACCGCAACTGTACCGCTGGATGAAGACTTTCAGAGTAGACAAGTTCGCAGTTCTTCCGATCAGGCACACCACTGCAGCCGACGATTTCGCCTTCGAAAGGTACCTGATACATGACATGTGCCCAAGCCTCAATACGATGGGTACGGGGAGGAAGCCAGCTACGATGAACCAGAGAAGAAAGGGAAAGCGTGAGCGGAATAGACGAGGGAAGATTTCGATCGGACTACCGGTGGTGAAGTTTTCGACTGACGGAGGAGAACGCACCTCACTTCTCAACTGGCTGCAGGAGAACGTAGAAGGAGCGAAGACTCCGAAGAACGTCCGTTTCTCGGCCAGACAACATTGGCTGGATGGTTGGAAGAGAATCTGTGCATTATTTGGAAGCTCTGAGGTACGAATCGAAGGGAACGACATGAGACTGAACCAAGCGAAGAAGCCGTGCCAAGAAGGGAGAGAAGTCGTATTTACCAGGATTAGAAGGACACCCACGACGACCGAGAGGAACAAACGCACGTTGCTAAGTCTGCTGAGGCATTCGAGACTGACGACCACACTCACACGATACTCGACAAACAAACTCGTGGGATTGTACAGGACGACTTGCCTTTTCGGCAGAAAGGAGACACGCTACAAGCTGAAGATTAAGATCGACCAAGCTATCCGACGGAAGACGAAGGTAAGCGTCCGAAGAAAGGTGACCGTAAAGTACCCGTTTAGTGCGTCTGTACTAAAGTCTGAAGTGAGAAGGAAGACAGAGACTGTGATAGAAAAGAAGGTGGCCGATAATGCTGTAGCAGACCTAGTAAAGAGGAGAGTTAGGGTAGTGTGCACAAAAAACAAGACAGTGGGTGAAATCATTCACAACCACAGGAGGTTTGCGAACACCGGCCAGGTAACATGCGGATGCCAGTCTTTTAAATTAGATAAGCACGACGGACACGTTCTCACCCGACTGTACGAACTGGACGACGTACCAGCTTTCGTTAAGAATGCGAGGAATGTGACGAAACCGACCGTCCAACACAATCGTGAGACCATTAGACAGAGCATAGGCGCAGCGACGACACACCTCAGAGGCAAAGTCATAGACGAACTAGATGTAGAATCGTGTCTCTCAAACGAGGACAAAGGGGTAGCTTGGACCGAACAGGATGTGAGAAGATGGGCTAAGCAGTTTGATGGGCTAGTTTTGATACCAGTTGATCGTAATCCTGGAGATACAGCGATCATCTGCCCTGTTCTGTACAGGCATGCATTTGGGAAGACTTTCACTTGGAACCCGGACTACAAGAAGGTAGACCGGACGGAAGAAGAAGTCATGAAACTGTGCAAACAAGAGTACGAGACTGTTGGCCTTACAAGTGTGGGAAAATGGAAGATAGATGGGAAGATAGGAAAAACCTACGTAATTCATAAAGATAAGGACCTACTGAGATTGAGACCAATCGCCCCCGCTTGCAGTGACCCTGCAGCGCTCGGACAACGAAGATGCGCTAGAGCTCTAAACTACCTCCTGAATCGGTTCTCTAGAAAGAGAAATTTCCACATCAAGTCCGCCTACGAAATGACGGAAGAACTGGAGGTAATCACCAAAAAACTGCAAAGCTCGGACTGTACGACGACCATGGGGAGATGCTATGATATAAAAGAAATGTTTTCTTCTCTTTCACATGCATCTGTCAAGGACGCGGTCTCCGACATGGTGACGTACTTCGAAGAGCAAGGGTGGAAGCAAGTCAAGGTCGCCACTAGAGGGAAGAAGTGTACACTGTCGAAGACCAAAAAGAAGGAGGAAGGGTATGTGACCGTGGAACTGGATACGATCCCCCAACTGGTTAACTATGATCTCAGGCACTCTTACATGAGGTGTGGTAATATCATAAAGCGTCAGACGGTGGGAATCCCTATGGGAAAAACCACCAGTCCAGTGATGGCAACGGTAACCTGTGCTATGGCGGAAGAGAGGTTCCTCTCGTCGCAAGGCGCAGATAGAAAACTGGTCGCAGGTTGGAGAATGGTAAACGATGTCTCGATCGTGGTGGTATGCAGCAATACAGAGGAGTCATGGAGAAAGGCAGGTAAGATACTGAATAATTTTCAGGAATCTTATGATAAGAACCTGAAACTAATCCGGAAGGACGCTGATGCTAACCACTGGCATTTCATCGGCGGACGAATGTATAGCGTGGGCGACCCTGTCCAAGTGCACTTCGTCCAGGAGACTAAGAATAGTGAACCCTTGAGCACCACGGGGAAGCTCCGCTACCAGCCCATGCAGGACTTCGCTAGCTACTTAGAGAAAGCAGTGAAGAAAGGCGTTCTGTCGGTTACGTTGAAGAGACTCTGGCGATCATCGACAGCGAAAGCACTATGCGTTACCCCTATTGCTTATGCGATCACTGAAAGCATCCTCCGGGGATACACCCCGGAAGTTTCGCTAGGGGCTCTGTCCAAATTGGCCAGAGCTACGAAAGACGGGATACTGAGATTGTTACTCGGTACGTTTAGACTGATCTTGGATCACAAGAAGATACGGACCAGGATCCCGGGCGAAACTCCGAAAGGAGGACAGATGCCGGCACCCCGAACCTTACGGCAGTAGGAACAGAGGAGCCTACAGTTGTAACTGCCCAACGGGCACTAACATTTCGGCACGCGGCATGACAAGGATAGTGTCTTTGCTTTGCTTATTTATTTTATTTTATTTATTTATTTTATCTGAGTTCTCGCCTATGTTTTGGCCGAAGTGAAGGGACAAAGGAGAACCCGCGAAACGGATCTAAGATTCCCCGACGCTTCACTGTACTGCTTTAGTTTTATTTAATTATTTTATTTTATTTTAATTCACTGTATTTTGGATACCACTCGGCGGCTCGAAAGTGACGAGTGGCTTTAGCCCACATTTTGGCCGTTTTCAGAACTAGGCATAGGCATATGAAGTTTTCGAAAGTTTTGGGAAAAAATATATATTACTAAGGAGGCAAAGGCATCGGCCTCTTTCGACAGTGGTGCTCGAGCAGAGCACACCTTCCTGATGAGTCCTCACAGTGGGCGGACGAAACCGGTCGAAGGACCCGCTTTGTCGTTTTCAGGGAGTTCTAGCTATGGTGGCGTGAGGAATGAGACATGTGTGAAGTGGGACTCGACGAGTTTGTTTGAAGCATTTATGAACTGAGCTTTTGGCAGTTTTCACGATTTCTATGGATGTTTGCATAAGCTCTGTTTGTCTCTAAGTATGCATGTAACTCTTCCGCTTACTGTTCGTCTCCCGACAGACTGTCGTCGCAGCCTGCCAATCAATCAATCAATCAATCAATCAATCAATCAATCAATCAATCAATCAATCAATCAATCAATCAATCAACAAAAAAAAAACGCATTTTTTTTTTTTTTTTTTTTCTTTGAGGGGGTGGGGTTGGGGTTGCGCCACCCCATGCCACTTCCCAAACCCCCGCCCCCCCTCCCCTTTGGCCGCCATGCGACCGCAAAGTCACGCGGACGTGACCGTTGATGGCCTCCTCCGAGGGAGATTCGTAGTATTTGTGAGTCTCCTTCAACGGGATTCGTAAAAATGTAACAAAAAAAATTGTCAGGTTTGCACGAAAATTTTTAAAGATTTTTATAGTACATTTTTCAGGTCTCCTACATGAACAAAATTATATGTGAAGTAAATTAACTGCAAATATATATATATATATATATATATATTTTCAGAGCCACTAGAAACGGTGAGGAGAGAAGCAAGTTTTCTAACAAAAAAACACTTCCTTGCAAAGCACCGTTTGTTAAGGAACTGAAAATCCCAGTTTTTTGTTTATCTTCAAAAATCATATTTATAGTTCTATAAGGTATGTAGCATGACGAACCTATTCGGGGGTTTGCCAAACATGCACGCACGTTCTCCTGTTCACGAATATGTTCTCTCATACATAGACAAATACATTGTTTTTTTGTGTTTTTAATTGAAATGTGTTTTCATTTTTTTTAATTTTAAATCATGGTTGGCTGATAATTGGAAGATGTCTCCCAAGCAAAATTTATTTGAATTTTTCTTTTACATAACATATATTATTTGACAATGTTTTTACAGTTCACTTAAAAATGGACTTATATTAATTTATAGTTTTATAAACCAGTGTTCACAGAGCTTGGTTTTTACCAAACTGTCGAAAACGACTTATAGTTCTATAAATGAGTATTCACTGAAAACCTTTTTTTAAACATCTTTCAAGTTTGTCTCGCAGTCCTTAAACATTGTCTTGTTTGAGCTATGTTTTTTGTCAATCTAATGAAAAGGATTGATAGTTTTATAAAATGGACTTTGTTGGAAATAATTTTCTTGCACATTGTGAGAATTGCTAGACGATCCCCCTTGCTCGGTGAACAACCTCAATGGATGAGAGTGTGTTGTGCAATTTCTCGTCTAATTCGTTGAAATAAATTATATACTCGACGAACTTCTGGTCCTTCAATAACTCTAGTGTTTGTTCTTCCATTGGTCTTATGTGACACTTGATGTTTTCAATGACTTTCTTTTCCCATCCTTCTACCTTTTCCCGATAGAGGGTGCAAGACATCATGAAGAAGTTCTTACTATACATAATTTATTATTTTCCTTCTATCGGGGATGACGTTCAGGTAGATTAATTAGATGAGTGGAAAAATTATTGTTTGTCTTGTGATCTTGTGACACGGTTTTTTTGTAATACCTTGACACTAGGTTTCTTTCCTGATGGTTACCATCGAGGTTTTCTCAGAATGTATTGGTACCTGGCTGCACAGTTCATGATGAGACGTTCGCCTCTTAGTAAACGAACTGTCATTAAGACCTCCAAAAAGAGTTTGTTGCATGAACCCTCAACAACAACTTATTGTAACCTTCTTACTAGTTGGAACCAAAGTTAGCAAGGATTCCGCTCACACATGTCACAAGGGGGCAACGATGCTCTACCTTCACTAGTATACAGCGCAGGTGAGTTACTGAGCTCTGCCTCTGTCTATGTAGAACACGCATAAGTGGTCGCGTGTAATCCTCATTTCGTCAACGAATAGTATATTACCAGGAGTAAGGTCAACTTTAAGATAATGCATACACTATATGATTCACTGAATACTGTTGGCGACAATCCGTCTCTTGATTATTGCACTGGTCCTCTCCCGTGGTAATTCTGAAGCAAATCGGTCATCTCTAAGTGTGGTAATAACGATAGAATTGGTGAAATTGGTTTAATGACTTATTAATCGAGTGATAAGGGGCACATCAGAAGAGCTTCGGTATTGGCTCACGATTTCAACTCACTGCTCAAGTAAGCTGCCTCATATCAATTTCCACCTTTTTAATACAACGGAAGATTGAAGCAAAATGTTGTCCGCTCTCAACCACATGATATAATTTATGAGAGGGGGTCGTCAAACACAACTATTGCTCATATTTTGCTTCTTAAGTGTCAGTTAAAATGTTGAAGGAAAATAGTATGTCTAAGGTTTTGTTACTAGTACGTTATGTTAAAAAAAAAAAAAAAATACTGAGGCAACTCGTTTCTTGTAACGATAACGGGATGGGGAACACCGTGCCCAAGGTTCGAGCAACGTAACCCTATGCACTCAGCGAGTCAAGTCATACAGTGTCCAGTCATCAACCGACTACTACTGCCACAGTGAGCGTCTGCCAAGCACGCGAGGGAGATTTTACAATCTCATAGTTCCCCGAGGACAATTTTGAGATTTGTCATAATATTTAAAGACTTTGCCTGCATCATTCCCAATTTGCAGGGTACTTGTAAGATTCGCACCAAAACAAAAAGTTTTTCCCATAACGCATTAACTGATTTGATCGTAAGGTCATAATACTTAGCAACTCTCTTTACTTAGTGACTAAGGTCATAGGCAAAGTATGCCCGTATTCCCTTCCTAGACAAGCTAGAGTTAAACAAGATAATAGGGTAATCACCTAATACGAATCCTCCATGGAGGCGGTCACCCACAGTCGGGGCACGACCTCGCCACGTGGCGACGTGTTTTCAAGGCCACATGGCGGCCAGTGGGGCGGGGTGGCGGAGTTGGGGGGGTTTGATTGGGGTTGTGCAATCCCAACCCCACCTCCTCGTTGAAAAAAAAAATAAAAGAAAAAAAAAATAATAATAATAAGCAAACAATCTCAGGAGGGGGTGGTTGGGGGCAAAAATAAATTTTTAAGGTGCGCCTCTCTTTCTTTATTCGTTTGGTATTGGACTTGCTTTCCCGCATTTGGTACCGACCCTGCATTTTCGGTCCACGTTGTGAGGCCAGCATGGATTGGTGGTGACAGCAACACCGCAGGCTATGAAGAATCGCGGCGACTCACAGTGATGAGCATGGTGCGGATTAGTGATGACACTCACATTGCAGCAACTCCTCGTTTGAGACACATGTGCATGGTTTCTATATTGCTTGTCAGTTCAGACATTCTTTGTTAACGCCTATTTGTCCAATCAATTGCTTTCATCGTTGTTTGACTGAACATGCTGCATGTGATCCATCTCATAGCTAACAGAGGTATGACCTCCAATTTAACTATTTCCTCCTCCCTCCCCTGCCCACCGCCCCACCCCCCCAAATTTCAATGCGTTTGCTAAAAACTAAAACAAAAAAGCAGTTAGGATAACGGAATGGATACAACGCTCTCATTCCAGGCCATACGTACTGTCCACGTCTCAAGCAGGTGGGGGGTGTATGCATGGGCAGTAAGCCACAAACTGAATTCGTGTTCGATGTCAGTCGCGAGGTCCAGACTTGAGACTTGAGAATTCACACGGCATTGCCTGAGGAGGTACTCATGCGATGATCCAACCTAACGAGTCCGGATTAACTACATCCATGAGCACGTGACAAACACTTCGATCGGTAAGCACATGCATTTCTAATTGGTTGGCATTGTAAAAGGTGGCGGTAGAATCATGTTTTTCCCCCCACCTTTATTTTTTCGATATAATTGGGAAACGCGCTTGATTGACACTTTGATTGGCGAGCACATGATTGTTGATTGATCAACATTGTGAAAGGGGGGGGGAAATCACATTTTTCCCCCTACTTTTATTTTAGAAAGGTAGGTGGAGAAACATGATTTTCCCCCCACATTTCATTATGAAATATAAAGGGAGCACATGAATGCTGTTTTTTTTTTTTTTTTTTTAAATGTCATATTTTGAAATGTTTGTGATAAGGCAATGCTATAATGGGGAAGGGATTGATCCCTCTAACCACAATATCCCAACGGGATTTGCTAGTTTTTATTTATTGAAAATCATAGGTTACCAATGGTCCAGGGGCCGGTCGTCTCCCCCGGACGTCTCCCCCATACGTCCGGTACCCCCGTCGTTCGGGGAAAAAAAAAAAAAAAATCGTAAAAAATATATATATATATTTTTTAGTTTTCGATTTTTAACTCATTACTGACTGTGAATTTGAACATAACTCCAAGGCAAAAGTTGCTTGTATTGTTATGTTACATAACATATATGTTTCTCAGATTTTTCTGATAAGTTTTTTTTTTTTTTTTTTTTTTTTTTGCGTGCGAGGTCGGACAACCGTTGTCCGGTCGGACGTCGGACCAGACGTCCGGTCGGACACCCCGGACGGTCAGGGGGGTCCCGGATGTC